CTTCCTTCCTTCCTTCCTTCCTTCCTTCCTTCCTTCCTTCCTTTCCTTTCCTTTCCTTTCCTTTCCTTTTCTTCTCTTTCTTCTCTTTTCTTTCTTTGACGGAGTCTCACTCTGTTGCCTAGGCTGGAGTGAAGTGGTGCGATCTCAGTTCACTGCAACCTCTGCCTCCCAGGTTCAAGCAATTCTCCTGCCTCAGCCTCCCAAGTAGCTGGGTCTACAGGCACATGCCACCATGCCCGGCTAATTTTTTTGTATTATTAGTAGAAACAGGGTTTCACCATGTTGGCCAGGCTGGTCTCAGACTCCTTACCTCAGGTGATCCACCCACCTAGGCCTCCCAAAATGTTGGGATTACAAGTGTGAGTCATCGTGCCCGTACTAAAATATTTTTCTTACTTTGGGTCATAGAAAAAAAAGCCTATTTTTTTTAACCTCTTTTTATAAAACTGAAGTTGCCAAAGTGATCTTATCATTACCCAAACCACAGGAATATCTCACTTCTCATCTTCTTTGATCCTTTGGTGGAATTTTATACTTTCCTGTACTTTCATCATCACAAAATGCTTGCCTTCCCTGGCCTCTGAGCTCTCCCTTTCTCCTGGTAGTTCCATCTCTCTAACAATCCTCATTCTAGCACCTAAACATTGATATTCCCTAGAGTTCTCCAGGACCCACTTTTCCTCTTGCTGTGTCCTCTTGACATAAAAAAACAGCTTCAACCATTGTCTAAAAACCATTGATCCCTAGATCAACGCACCTAATTGTGAGTCCTCTCCCAAACTCCAGACTCATTTTTAGCTGTCTACTGAACACCTCCTTCTTGATATCCATGAATCTCTCAGAGTCAGCATGTCCACATGAATTTATTGTTATCTCTTCAAACATCCTCTCCTTCTATGCCAGTGGGGGACACCTTCTTTCACCCAGCCACCAAAGGTAATAGCCTGGGAGTCCTCCTAGAGTCCTCTCTGTCTCTCCTGCCTTGATATCCGATCAATTGCCAGATCCTGTCAATTCTGCCTCTGCTATACCTCTCGAAATTGTCCGCTTTGCCACTTTCTTAGTTCACAGCCTAATTATCTCTCATTGAACTACTGCCTCCATTATCTCCTCTTCCAGTCAGTATTTCACATTGCTGCCACAATTTCAAAAATGCAAATCTGACCAGGTTGGCTCTCTCTGTAAATCATCACAGAGTTTGTGCCAGTGTGGACTGACAAAGATGCATACTTCTCAGCATTACCTGCAAGCCCCTCCATTCTTCTCACTGCTGCTTCCTTGCCTCCTCCCCGCTCCTCTCTCTCCTGTCTGCTCAGGTTCTCTTCTGTGCTGCAGTGGACATGCCAGGCTCCTTTGACCCTCTTGATGAATGCACACACTGTTGTCTTCGCTTGAATGCTCCTCTCCTTGCTCACCCTCATCCATCTGCCAACATTCTATTTCAGGTGTAACTCTACTGCTGCCTCCTGGAAGGTTCCTCTTCCTCAGACTTATCTCCTATGTTGATAATGTAGGATGCATCCATGGCTTTAGGACATTCCCTAAGTACTTTTTGCCTCTCAGATCATGCTCAATTATAATTGATTATTTGCATTTCAGATTCCACTGCTCTACTGTGAACATCTCAAAAATTAGAATTATGACTCATCCACTTTCCTATGCCCAAGGCACCAGCATATAGTAAGTGTTCAATAATATTTGTAAAATAAATGAAGTCTCAGTTCTGCCATTTACTAGCTATTACTTTGAGCAACTCCCCTAACCTCTTAAGCTTCATTTTCTTCCTCTATAAGTGGATAGAAGCTAATGATTATTGAGTACTTCTGTGCATCATGCCCTATATTGTATGTCTTTACATATGTTATTTTTCACTACAAACCTCAGAAATAGAAACGATTCCTCATCCTATAGGTAAGAAAAGGGAGAGAAATGAAGTAAATTGACCATGGTTTGGTCGTCAGAGCCAGAATTTGAACTTAAGTCTGTCTGACTCCAGAGCTCTTTCCACTACACCAAGCTGCCAATAAAATGGAGAAGACTATCGACCTCACTGGGATTAAATGTGATAATGTATGTGAAAGCACTTTGTAAACTGTTAAACGCCATCAAAATGTGAGATGATATTATTGTCATTAAGATCTGCGATGGTCTGCATATCATGGTCAGAATTTTCAGTAACTGATATTGGAAATCATTCAGTTGTAGCTGCCTGCTAGGGCCTATGGGAATCAGACACCTCTCTGGGGCTATTTCCGCACATACTTGCTCCCCTGCTTGTAGATGCAAATAAATAGCAGCAATGCAACAGGAGGCCCAGTGGAGCACAAGGATGCTGCATGCCCCAGGAGAAACAATGATGGGTATGCTTGTCAGTTACAGGTTACAGCACCCTATGAATGTCCTGCTGACACCATTGTGTTTTAGAATCTTCAGGCTGCTTTGTTGTTGCACCATCCCATTTAGAATCTTGGCGTGTGCTGAGGGTCGCGAACTGCACTGCTTTTAGCTGCTGCCACCAGTTTGTGAATCATCCTGTTTACAATCTTTCAGACGCTATCTGGGTGGCGCGCCTGCAGAACAGCAGTGATATATGGCATTGCCTGCGTCAGGGAGGTGACAGGGAACCGCCATGAGAGGCAAGATTCACAGTCAAAACATATTGCATTTAGCTGGCCATTTAAGTCACCCAACGCCATCAGGTAGGTCCTGACAGGACAGCTGACCAAGGGCATATGATGGTCATGGGCCACCAGAGTTACTTTCTCCTATTGAAGGTATGGATGGTGGAAATAAAGCCTTGCATTTTTACTGACCATGCAAACTGCCTGGGCAGTGGAAGGTTAGCTCCTTAATTTTCTCTTTCATCGTTTGAATGCTACTTAATTCCATGTAACATCATTGGCTTGTTAATGTCTCTTGTTTTTTATTGCTGCAAAGAAACATGCTCTAACCAATCTGGACAAACCACGCACATGTCTGTAATTTAATATCTGCTGACGCTCGTTGGAGACATTTTTCTTCAAGCATATTTTCCCTGGGTCTAGAAAACCTTTCTTGTGACTTGTGTCCCTCCAACATCCTTTTCCAAACTCAGTTTTCCTCTCAAGTTAATAAACAAACAAAAGCAAGAGAAGACTTTACAATGATTACATGAAAAGGCTGTGTAGAGAGATTCCCCTGGATATGGAATCAAATTTTGAAAAAGTTTACCTTATTTCTTAGAAGCTATGAAATGTGATTTCCTCTAATGAGTAACAACTAATTAAAGCTTGTGTGTTAAAGCAAATGCCTCCCAATTTTATCCCTTCAGAGGCAGCCTCCTCTGAACGCTCTCAGCTTTGTCCCAGAAATGGTGGCCCATGTTCAATTTTGGAGTGCAATATGTGGGACTGAATCTGATTTAAACATTGCCAGCTCACTCTAGAACATTCCTAATATACTGTGAAGTGCTAAGACATTTACAATAGTCTGGCTTTTCTACTGCAAGTAGATAATTAGTCACCCTTGTTCATCAACAATGTGTTTAGATATCAACTTATTTTAAATTTCTTTGGGGGCAGACACATACACACACATTATATATAATGCATATATATACACATTATATGTATGTAGAGACATTATATATTATATAATGCATATATATAATATATATACACACACATATATATAAAATCCACCATCTTCTGGTGATAAAACAGGAAAGGGAGTTAATGTGTGTGTGTATATATAATGTATATACATTATATATAGATGTATATGTATATAATATCGGGTACATACATTATATACATAAAATGTATATGTACATTTTAGATATATTAACACTGATGTGTATATAAAATGTATATACATTAATGTTAATGTGCATATATAAAATTGTGTTTGTGTGTATACACACACACACACACACACACACACACACACCCCTTTCCTCTCTTTTCACCAGAAGATAGTGGATTATGGATCATCTGCAGGCCATGTTATTACCCCTGCAGAATAGTCAGAGAGAATCGGATCAAGTGATAGAATAGACTTAATCGTCATCATTTTCATCCTAAGTACTTAATGTCCTGGCTTGCAGAACCTCTGTATTTACTGCGGAGGGGTGTGTATATGTGTTGCCATTTTAAAGATGACAAGAGTGAGGCCTGAAACACAAAGTAATTTTCATAGGCTGAGCAGTTCGTAAGGGTGGGAATCGAACCTGATGCTCTTGATTCTCTGTTCAGCACTCTACACTGGTCCAAGCTGTTTCCAAACACTTTAGAGACAGTAAACATTTAGGGTTCCCTGGTTTTCTTGCCTCTGTCTTTGATCATTTCTGTTGTTTTGGGGAGCTGAGGGCATCTGGAAGGAACCAAATCTTATTACTCAGTGCCTAAGTTGTGCGCCTGAGATGCTGTAACTTACAGGAAACAGCGTTGAATTGAAACTAATAGCCCAGCATGGCTCACTGCAGTGTTCTGAACTTACCTACAGATTTGCTGTGGTATTACTTATGGAGATGACAGATTTAGTGTAGCTCAGCTTAATAAAATAGCATTTATGGGAATATCTGCACAATTAGAGCACACTTCAGCCAATGTGGCATCATACACATTTGGACACTGTTCTTTGGAGACTGACATGAGTTTCGGCAGTTGAAGAGCAGTTGGGATACAGGGAAGGTACCCTAAAAAGGATTAGGAGAAACTTCCCAGCTTTTAGGAGACAATTCTCCTTCATGCCCCATTCCACTTTTGAGGGAATATCTCCATCACAGGTGCCTATGTTGTATCAGGGTGTTCTAGTTCCTGAGCAGTCTCTGGAGACAAGTAGGTACAGTTGAACTTAGCCAAGCAAACTCACTTTTCACCTCTGTGATCCTGGACATGTATCCCCACCTCCCTGGGCCTCCCTTTCCTCATCTCTAAAATCTGGGAGTTGAGTTAATAATCTCCAAAAGGCTAGAATTAGAAGTCTGTTTCTTCGGGGTCGTTCACTCCACAATCTAGGATGAAAGTAAAGTGTTCAGTCAGCATGACTTGGGGGAATCATCTCTGCATTTCACAGCTCTGAACTCCACCTAACCCCTGTCTGCCTCCCACTCCCAGTAGCAGATATTACCTAGAACTGCCTGAAGTCACTGAGTTCCCAGACACAGAATGCAATAGGAGTGGGATTGTGCCCTCGAAGTCTTGTCTTTCTTGAAAATGTCTATGGTAGTTTTCTATAGGGTCTCCATAAAATGGTCATGAGCCTAAAATGACTATTGAGGCAAACAGTTGATGGACTATTTGACTCCATTGAGTAACGTGGCAGATGGTTTTAGAGCTGTGTAGACATAGTCCTGGTCAAAACTGTTGAAAGCATTTGTGTAGGCAAGCCCAGCCTCAGTTAGTGTCACAATGACCAGCTGGGAAGTGAAAAATGTAACCAAACAATGGACTGCTTTCTTTTCATCAAGCCAAATAACCAGTTTTACTGACTTTCTTTTCCCACTGACTTAATTGTTTTTGCAACTGATATGACTCACTTCACAGATTGTTTCCAATCATACGGGTGCAGCCCGAGTTGCGGAGCATTGTGGTTACTGTTCCTTCCACCCCAGTGAGGTGGGAGTCGAGAAGTCCGGTGACTCACCACAGGCTACCAGCCATGTGATGGCGCTTCGTCACATAGTCCTTCTGTGTACCCAGCACTTTGCTGCGGACATGGAAATAAACAGATGCTGTGAGATAGCAACACACACACACACACGCACACACACAATATCAAGAAAGTATGGTCAAGATGCCATAAAACTCAAAGGGCTAGGCATCTTGAAACTTTGTAAATAGCCATTAACCCAGGACAAATTGGGCCCATTAATAAAGAAAAATGCCAATTTCATTGATTTGCCTGTCTTACAGTTCACTTGCTTCTCTTCTCGGTGTGACAAGCTCCACCTCCCATCATCCTGCACTCTCTAACAGAGAGGCTAGAAACTAGCACTGGCCTGAATCAGCTCTGTGGAGCACAAACTGGAATGCATCTCATCCAACTTTGTAGAATGGAGTAGGAGTGTAGTTGGGAGCTTAATTGAGCAGACAAACTGGTCAGTAAGTCACAGAAGCCACATCTAAAGGGGTCATCAATGCAGGGAGCACCTGAAATGGTTATAGGGTGTGAGGGTCTGTAAGCGCCAAGACTTAGAAAAGGATGAATGTAAGGAAACAAGTGCTGAAATGGGTGAGCAAAAGTCCTACAGTGGGTCCTACAGAATGCCTGAGACAGGCAGCTGTTGATGGTGGCTAGTTTCCTACCAGCTCCTGGGCCTCTGACTGAGGGTAAGCCAGTCCCAAGATATCAGAGTAGAGACATGGCACTATCATTCTGCAAAATGCTTTCTACCAATTTGTTCCTACTAAAGTTGAATATACCCATGCCCTATGATTCTGGCAATTTCACTCTTAGCTATGTAGAAATACATGTGTATAACCACTAAAGGACCTGTTAAAGTGATCAGAATAGCATTATTCATAGAACCCCAATCCAGAAACAACTCAAATGTTTCTCAACACTGGAACTGATCATTGTGATTTACGTAGAAATAGGATAATATGCAGCAATGAAGAAGAACCAACTGTTGCTTACAAACATATTATTAAGCAAAAAAGAGGTAGGTACAACATAATGTACTGTGTATGCGTCCATTTATATAAAGTACCAAAAGAGCCAAAATGAATCTATGGTGCTTTAAGTCAAGCGATCACTTTTGGAGACAAAGGTAGAAGTTTGCGGGTAGAACGGGGCCCAGTGGAGTGCTGGGGAGTGCTGGGAATTTTCTATTTCTTGATCTAGGTGGGAGTTATGCTGGCGTATTTACTTTTTGTGTATATCGTAATCACATATGAATATTTATATTAATAAAAATTTTAGGCAGGTTATAAAAAGGGGGACAGGCAAAGTAGACACGGGGGTATAAAAGTCCTCTGTCACGAGGTGCATTTCTCACGGGAATAAGCATGACTGCACTGACCGATTATGCAGATTTTGTCTTGCCTGGTGTCTGAGGGTGTTCAGTCCGTGTCGTCATCTCAGAACTTGGCTGAAAAACTGAAGACTGAGGGGAGGACAATCTGATGTCCATGCCCTTCACCTAGAGAGGAATGCCCAGAAACGGGTGGTTGTGGCAGGGTAGGTGAAAGTACAAGTGCATGCTTGGGAGAGTAGGGAGAGTATAAAGGGGTACGGAAGCAGGGAAGGCAGGGACCACTGGCTTCTTACATCTGGACTCTGAAACCACCATCTGATGCAACACTTCTCAGAAGCACCCATGCTAATCTCCACCAGCTGACACCCCCAGCCACATCTGCACCACCCCAGCTAATCACTGCCCACAATTGCCTACACCTGTCCTCCCCTCCTGCCCGCCCCTGCCACCTGCCTGCCTGCCACTTTCAGTTCCCACGCTAAATCAATAACAAAGTCCTCTGAGGGCTGCCTAGCTTCTCTGTTGATGCCTCCTCCCTTTAAATCCACTTCCCCTCCTCCCCTCTCCAAGCCTGATCCATCTGCCCAAGCTCAGCTCTGCTTCGACAGGACTGGCAGGGTGGCTCTGGTTGCAGACAGCATGGCCCTCCCTGGCCTTAGCAGCTGCCGATGCTGCAGTTTAAGAATCGCCATGTCTGGGGAAAGTCCATTAAAAGACAGTAGCAATGTACATTGTGCAGTGACCCTCTGGGCACCCAATTCCACCTTGTTAATGATCTCTTTGAAATAGCCAAGGCTGCGGAGGGAGATGTGGTTCAGAGGTCCCCAGGACTGTGTTGTTAGGACACAGCTGCACTTGCTCTGTTTGGACAACATTCAGGAATCGCTCTCCTGCTAATGGGGGCAGGTCCTCAGAGACCCACTCAGCCAATTAAAATGCTCTTCAGGAATGTGCTGAATGTCCAGCCACTGCGCAGCTCTGTGAATGTTTATCCTGGCAAGGAGAAAGCTAAAGAGGTAGCCATCTATTCCATGTGGAGGAACGCATGTTCCAATGGCAAGTCTCATAACTGTTTCTCTTCTTAGGACACTCAGGTGAAAGTGACATATTCCAAACACACTCGCTGCCTTAACAGAGGTGATACACAATCCCCTGTAATCCAGCTGTGACTCTACCACTGCCCTCCCACTCAAGAAAGCAAACTGAAATGCAAGTAAAGCAAGAGAGATGTTGCGATAAGCACTCTTTCAAATTTTCTCTATTTTACAAAATCACCATGCCAGCAAGCCGGGCTTCTTACCTATTTAAAGTTTGAGAATAGGTTGAGATCATTTTGGCCCCAAGACCTCTAATCATTCACTTTATTGGGTAAAACTGCGTGGGAGATTGGGTTTGCGAGAGTGCCAGCTATCCTGAGGGAAACCTTGGAGGGAACCAGCTACTAGATGGTTCAATTAGTCTTTCACCCCTATACCTGGGTCGGACGAGTAAAACATTTTACAAAATGTTTTATTATTGGTAACAAATTACTTGCAGTGTACCTCAAAACAGATGAGGCAAACTACTGTGTTTTGACACCTAAGCTAAGAACTGTTGCTAGGGAATATGGAAACCATTAGCTAACCACACGATAAGAAACACATTGGTGGCAGGATATAAGGAAGAACTTCCAGGTAGTAAGACTTGAGCATTCGATAAAAGCTCAACAAACATTTAATGAGTGCCTGCTTGGTGCCAGGCTCTTTCCTAGACTTGGGGTATGATTGGTTATTGCAAAAGTAACTGGAATCTGTGAATATCTTTTTTTTTTTTTTTTTTTTTTTTGAGGCAGAGTCTCACTCTGTTGCCCAGGCTGGAGTGCAGTGGTGCAATCTCGGCTCACTGCAAGCTCCGCCTCCTGGGTTCACGCCATTCTCCTGCCTCAGCCTCCAGAGTAGCTGGGACTATAGGCGCCCGCCACCACACCTGGCTAATTTTTTTGTATTTTTTAGTAGAGACAGGGTTTCACCGTGTTAGCCAGGATCGTCTCTATCTCCTGCCTCGTGATCTGCCCACCTCAGCCTCCCAAAGTGCTGGGATTACAGGTGTGAGCCATGTGAATATCTTTAAGAAAAATGTAGAAAATCACCTAAAGCAGAGATTTGACAGAAAATGGCCTGGGTTGATGACATTCCCAAGATATTTAATTCCCATTTCCTTCCATTCCTCCCCAAGCACTTAGGGATGATTTTGGGGCTATAGTCAGGTCTGGGCCATACAGTCTGAGAGTCTAAGAAGCAGCTCTATCATGTGGTTCATAGTCTCACCTGCCTGGTCACGAGTTCTGTGAATTCATGGGCTTCATCCCAGAGAGGGGGTGAGAAAATGGCTCTTAAACGTGATATTTCTGTGGAGGGAGGGTGCCAGTGCCCTCACCACCATGACCCTGCTGATGGGAACAGTGTTGTCAAGGGTCCTAAACTGGAAATTAAGAGACGTAGATTCTAGCCCCACTAAAGCATAATAATTTTAGGCAAGACATTAGGGGTCCAAGGCCTCACATATCCACCCAACAATGAAGGCTCCAATCCAGGATGTTGAAGTACATTGCTGTTAAAACACAGAGCCCTGGAAGCTGGAGAATACCATTACCCTAACTCTCCATGGGGAAATCTGACACTGTGCCATTCTATTCTGTCCTCTCATGTTATGACAAAGTTCTGTCCATTATTTTTAAACCAGGAGCATACCTCCGAGCCCACTACCCTTCTGTGACACAGTCTTTCTGTCCTTTCCAAACTCCCACTCCCTCACATTTCATCATCCAATTATTTTCCCTTTCCAGAATTCTCCTTAATCTCCTAGATTAAGAAGAGGAGCATGTCCTCTCTGGCCTCATTTGTCTCCCTGAGCCTGTGCCCCTGGCCAGTCATTTCACCTGCCCTCAGCCAATCTGGAAGTTCCCACTCTCCTGACCCGTGAGGCCCTTGGTGCCAGAACCCAAACACAGCCCAGGTTCAACCTGCTGCCCTAGCAAACACTGCAGGGGAAAAACAGTCATGGGTCCACCCACAATGTATAAGGTGAGCTGGGCCACCATCTCTTCGGGAACCATTTCCTTAGCTTTAACTGACCTCCCCATCAGAACTCTTCCACACCATCCTCATTTTCCTCAGTCTCTCCAATCTGCTGCTATCCCACACCCTTACTGTGTGAGTTGGCTAGGTCTGCTGTAGCAAATACTACAGACCCAAGCCTTAGACAACAGAAATTTACTTCCTCACAGTTCTAGAGGCTAGAAGTCCAAGATCAAGGTGTTGGCAGAGCTCGTTTCTTCCAAGGCCTCTCTCTTTGTCTAACAGATGGCTACCTTCTCCTAATGCATGTCTGTGTCCTAATGTCCTCTTCTTGTAGGGAGTCCTATTAGATTAAAGTTCATTCACTCATATGCCCTATTTTACCTCAATTTCCTTGTTAAAAGCTCTGTCTCCCAATACAGTCACATTCTGAAGTACTGGGGATTAGGACTTCAACGTATAAATTTGGCAGGGGAGGGATGCAATGTAGCCCGTGCTACGTCGTACCCTTAAATGACAACCTTGCTTTCTGTTTATTGGAAGACAAGAGCCATCTGATTTACCTTCTCCAGTTGCCCTACTCTTTGCTCCAATGATTCCCAAATTTTCAGATGGCCTCTCTCTTTCCCTCTCTCAGTTCCAAGTTAGTTTGAGTAATAGCTTTTCTGGAAAGCTTTACCTAGCCCTTGGAGCAGAGTAAAACATTTCTTCCTCTGCAGTGTCATTGTATTTTGCTTCCAAAATAAAGAAAACTAAGCTCTCTGGAAGGCCTACTGTGTGCTCATCACTGTGCTGGGCACATTAGCACAATGTTCTTGTGTGATTGTTGTAGCAACCCAGGGGAGTGGCGGTTAAAGTTGAGAAAACTGAAGCCCTGGGAATTTACCTTCTCCTGAGTCTCTCAGTGGGTATGTGGTCAGAGGTACTATTCAAAATACCACAAATGTTTCTATCCTAGAATCTAACAATTTTCTACTGATTCTTTCTACCTCTTTCTCTCCTATAGGTAAGTGGCCATAACTTGCCCTTTCTTTATGCAAAGTGCCCTCCCACAGAGGAACCTAGCCCATGCCTCTTGAATGGGTGAATGAATGAATCTTCTTTATTAAAACTAAACTTAGGAAAGTCATGTTCTTGATCCCTTCTCCTCTGAGTCCTTCTCCAGACATTTTCCCCATCATCTTGCATCTTTAACATTTTCCTTTCCACTGACTAATTCTCTCCACCTTGGATACATCTTCTCTATTTCTCTTTTACTCTTAACACCTTTCTGTGCCTTGATACCTCAAGCTATCCAACTATTGCTTTACCTCTCTTTCCCCTCAATCTAATTGAGATAGAAGCCCTTCTCTATAGAGATGCTGCTTCAGAAGGTCCACTGTGAGATGTTGGCATTTTTTGATGCCACCCAAAGAGCCAGGTTTAGGGACCTCCAATCCATGCTCTGGGCCTCCACTTCCTTACCTCATTGACACTTGCAACTGGCTTTCACTGTCACCAACAAAATCACTCTTGCAAGGTTTTCAAAGACTTTCTAAATGCCACATCCTCCTTGGGCCTCCACAGCATTCATCTCAGACGGTCTCTCTCAGGATTCCTTCACTTTTGCCACAACCATCTCTCTGCTCTTCTTATTCTCTGTCTACTGCAGTGGTTGCTTGTTGTCTTCCCATCTACCAGGTGGAAAATTCTCCAAGGTCTGATTTTCTTCCCTTCTCTCTTTTTTCTCCATATTCTCTTCCCTAGACAATTGTATTTAATTCCCTAATTTCAATTACCTTGTCCATGTAGATGATTGAGAAATAAATATCTCAAACCCCAGCATCTGTCTAGAGTTCTGGACTCAATTACCTTTGTTTTAGGAAGAGCTACACCTTTATGTCTGTCCTGGGTTCTCCCAAAAGCAAAACTTGGGGGAAGAAATGGATGCAGGTAGTTCATATGGGAGGTGATCCCAGCATGTAACAGTGAGTGAGCAGGGAGAATTAGTCAGGAGCAGGAAGCACTGATGTGAGGAACATCATCAGGATCAGTGCTGTGGGCAATGGAGCCTCCATTCCACTGGGACTTCCTGAGAAATTGACAGATGCTTTCAATTGTTCTTCTGAAGGACTGAAGGTACAGCATTGATCCCATTCCCCGTTAGCTGGGAGTCTCCCAGGGCATTATCTCCCCTACATTCAAGCTAATCTGTGGGCAGTTCAAGCAATCTCCTAGGTTTTGAAGGAGGTCCTAGGGCACAATGTGGAAAGAAGCACAGAGGACCTCAAGGTGGGATTCAGGTCAAGTGCTGGGTGAGTCTGAGGCCATGTGGGACTCTCCATTACAGCTGTGCTGCAGTCAGAGGTGGATCAAAGGGAGATTGACACCATCAGCATCCTTTCTCCCAAGTCACTCAACCAAATATCAAAGCACAAAGCTGCAGTGACTTCTGACTCTTCACTCCTCATCTTAGTGTGTAGTTATTAGAACCATGTCCTATTTATTCCAAACAGACTTGCTCTCCAGCATTGTCCCATCATGGCTTTCTCATGATTGCCTTAGCACGAGCTTTTTATTGCCATGTTCTGACTCGTATCTATTAACTTTTATCTCTACTGTCTATCTTGCTCCCTTCCAAACTACCTTACACATAGATGCAAGATTATTCTTATCAAAGATAAATTTAAGTATCATAAACTGCTAAGAAATCTTCCATGGTTCCCAATGGATGGCCAAAATGTGTCCAACGTCCTTAACCTGGCATCTGATACCCTCTTTGTTCTGCCACTGTTTCTTCAGGGCAAAAGTGTTATTCTTATTACCCACCTACCTGTATTTTCTCTCCAGGACTTTTGACTTCTTTACACTACTGTAATTTATTTTTGCATTTACCTCTTTATTCTCTCCTTTCCCCCACATAAAATTTTCTAGATGGCAACATGCACTGAAACCATTCTAATCCCACCTGTCCTTTTAGGCCCATGTGTGTACAATATTTATCTCCTCTATGAAGCCCAAATACACATCTACTTCCTTTCTCCTGAACTCCAAATGCTTAATCTCTTCTTATCTTTTCTTCATTTATTATTATTATTAGCAACATGGTTGCATTTGATTTACCTTTTCTCTAGGTAGAGTGTGGCCAGCTCCTTGAGGGTATGAGTGATAGCTGCATCATCTTTGACTCTTCTGTGGCATCAAGCACAGTGCCATGCACAGTAAATGAAGGGAAAAAAGAAGGCAGGAAAGGAGGAAGAGAAGGAAGAGTAAATCTGATATCACACTGAGAAACAAGCTGCACAGAAGAACAAATGCTAGGAGCCAAGTAAGGGCCAGCATATGCTAACCAGCTCACCTCTCCAACAGACTCCCACCTCCTTGAAAAGGACTTTATTGTTGCTCATTATCTCACCTGCCCTTGCTGCTGAGTGCCCACCTGGAGTCAAGCACCTTCTGCCTGAGACAGCTGTTTCTGATGTCTGGGTAAAGGTTGTGTAGACTTCAGCTGGGGAGAACCGGCAGGAGGAAGGATACCCTTTCCCAGTTACAGATGGCAAAGGTGAAAAATACATAAAGAAAACATGCCAACTGTTTCCAAACCACCCTTAGGTGTGTCAGCACAATGTCCACAACAACTAGGTGAAATGAAAAAAGAGAGATAAGTCAAACATGGTTTTCACTACATAGTGGCAAATACTTGGTTTCACTAAAGTTGTAGCTACCCCAGACTGTCAGATTGCCTGAATCAGTCAGTATATTTTTTTCTATCTATCTATCTATCTATCTATCTATCTATCTATCTATCTATCTATGAGTTTTAACCAAATCACCAGTGTCTTCCAGCACCATAGCAGGATCAATTGCTAACCGTAAGTCTTCAGATATCCCAAATGACTGGTTGATTTGGTCAAGCATGAGGCTGGACTCACCCATCAATGACATAACCAACTTACCTGTGACTTTGGCTTGGTGCCGAGTCAGCCTCTGTCACAGACTAGCCACATTTAATTAAATCAGCAGTCAGAAAGATTCCATTGCTTCTCAGTTCCCTGGCCCCATGAATGGCAGGTGGCCAGAAATAGGGCCTGTGGGATTATTCATGAGCAACAGCCAATCACAACCACCTAACTTTTCCTCCTTACCTCATGTTCCCATTAGAATAGAGATAGGCCTTGATTTTTTTTCCCTCAACATGCTTTGCTTAAAAACCAACTGGCCCTAGGAAACACTAGAAAGAGATGGGTATTATCTTCAAGGACTTCCTATTTTCCCTCTTACATCACCTTTCCTCATTTTGGATCACCCATTCCAGTCTCCTGTCCCTGAAAGCAGTGTCACCTACTCTAATGTCAATTTTATAATCATACCTCTCACTCCTTTCCTGCTCCTCTTTTCCTTCCATCCAAACTACCTACTGTGTGTTATCATGCATCCATCCTTTCATTTATCCATTTAGAAGATAGATACTGAGCACCTATTATGTGCTCAGATAATGACCCATTGTGTTGGAGCTGGGATGCACGTGGTAATATGCTCCTTTTGAACATAATACCTTAATATAAAAGAGTGACCCAAGGGGTTGGATTACAGGCACTATGGCAGACCCAGAGATTGAGAGTCACTATATGAGGACAGACAGGATTTTAATGACTTTCTGAAATCAAAAAAGCAGTTGATCTGTCCTCTGCTCCTTCTTTCTTTGGTCAGAAGCCTGGCCTTTCCCTTGCCATTCAAACAGGACTTTGTGCAACATGAAAAGTATGAAGGTTCCCATTCTCAAGGACATTATGATTGATGGGATTCCTTGACTTACTCATCGTTATAAACTTGAATGAAGGACAGGACCATACAGAAAGTGGATTGGTCTCTTCTTCCCCTCCAGAAAAAGCAAAAAGTACAGCACTGCCCAGGCCAGCAGTCCCAGCCATAGCATCTGTTTGTGGTGTCCTATCTGTCTTGGAACCCAACGAGTCCACCATGTGATTGATGGTGTTCCACTTGATAGGGAACGGAACGAGCAATGATTTGTCATTCACCATAAAGTACTGCTATTTCATCTGCTCCCATTCCCTGGGACACAGCTCTGGCTGTTTGCTCTATGCATCAATTTATAGTTTATCCTAAGACTAATGATGTTGTGTTTACGAGGCAAGGTGGGGCTTTGTTTTTGTGTTCTACCAGCAGAGGATTACATTACTGATTGATCGCACGCGGTTGTCTGAGGCAAAAACATTTTGAATTGATACCTGGATTTGAACTACAATCAACTTCCTCGACAATTGCCTCTTGGTGCTGAATAGATCAAGGAGCTGCAGCTTTCTAATAGGGCCTCAAGGAGATTTTGACAATCCCTGTTTGAAGTGAACAGTTTGTTGAGGTGTATGGGAGGCAAATAGATCATCCAAAGGGCTGGTCTGTGGCTTTCAGGAGCCCAAGGACATGCTCTAAGACCCCACTATTCCAAACAGCTGAAACAGCCAGGCACAGCCGTTTGCTGGTATATGTTGAACAATCAGTTCTCCTAAGCAGGGTGGCGGTGGGAATAGACCTAATTTGTAGCATTACCAGTTTCTCTGGTGTAAATATTCCTACCATGGCCAAATTCAGGCTACCAATGTGATGTTCACTGAACACAAATTTGGGAAGGGAGGCATACCATTGGCTCTTATGAGCTGGTACACAGTAGCTCCAACACACTACTTGACAAGAACTAGTATTTATTAATTATATACTGTCCTGTTCTAGGAAATTTTTTTTCTGATGAGAAAAGTAGGGTCCAGAGAAGGTATGTAAGTTACCCAAGGTCACACAGCGATAAAGTTAAGTCTTCTCATGCTGTGGCTACACTCTTTTTGTTATCTCCTGTAGTCCAGAGTGTGGAACTAGCAGGTAGTAGGGCCAGCTGGTTAACCCCAGGCTCTGATTTCAAGGCCTATGCTCCTTCCGTACACTACGTTGCTGCTACAAAGAATGGTAGGATTCAGGCTGTCCACTTTTGTCTACACTTCTGCCATTTAAGCCTGGTCAGTTCTGCTCTTGCCCAGCTTGCATTGGTGGGGAAATTCAAGTCTGCCTCTGTACTCATCTGCCAATTTCTCTCAGCCCCAGTAACTCTAAGGAAAAGGATATAAGTTTTCATGGTGACTCCTGCCTGGAATCTGGAAAGAGACAAGATGACCCCTAGGAGATCCCAATCGTAACAGTCCAAGAAGCCAATTCAACAACCAATTTGCCTGGAAATCTAAATGACTTCCCCTTTGGATTTGTTTTCACCCCTTTTAATTTTCTACCCACTGTCTTTGCTAGTTCATTTCCTTCCTGAAATTCTGAAGCAAATGAGGCAGTGCTGGTGGGGGGGCATGAGCACAGGGCTGGGGCAGTGACCTGCCCTGTGCTCTGTCTGGCAGACTCTGGTGCAGTGCAAAACAGCAGGGCATTAATGGCTATTAATATCCACAGAGGAAGTGCCGAAAGGCCAACCGCATAATTACCATTTATTCATCATATCAACTGGTCTTCAGCTCCTTCCGGCGGCATGTCATATTGTCCTGGAGTGGGGAGTTTGGGGGGAAAGAGAAACAAAGAGGAGGATCAGCAGCCCTTTCCCCACCACCCTCCCTCCCCTGCTGTGATGGGACTGGGGGTCAAAACACAGGGCACTGTGGCTCTCTGAGCACAGAGGTAAACAGGAAGCTCTGGGCACAATCTGGGTGGTAGAGAGCAGTGGTCAAGGAGGGCAGCTGCCAACCAAGGGCAGCAATGCCAGGCTGTTCTACTGCTATCTCCTTTCTTAAGAATTGAGCTCCACAGCTGCAGAAGAAGGCTGTGTGGAGCAAGCAGAGAGGGGATGAGACCAGAGACTCTGTCTGCAATTCTCAGCTCCTGAGAAGTGAGTGGATTTTGGACTGCTCATGAGTCCAAGTAATTTCCTGAGGATGCGTAAAAAGGAGGTTATCTAGCCACCCTTTCTGGCACTCACATTTCAGGTTCCTGGGGCACCCTGCTCCTTAATCCCATCCCCTGAGAATGCAGTACTTTGGTTTCTGGGGACTCCAAATCTGGACAGGGATGGTGGGGAAGAGATTAGTGTTGTGTTTTTTCTTTCCCCCTGGTACCAGCTTGACTGGCAGCCTGGGCAAAGAAGAGCCCATTCTAAATGCTCCCCGGGGTCCAGAATGGAACTCATTACATCAAACCTGCTGGTAGCCAGCAGCTCTGCTTTGTGAGCTGTGAAACAAATGTTTATCCACCACTCAGTGCGGTTCAAAGCTATTTAAGGAGCTCAGGGTGTTGAGCTGCAGGCAAGAGCTATGTGTGCAAGGCCAGCCCTGGCACCAAGTGCAGTGGGCAGATCTGGGGACTGCAGCCTCCAGGCTCCCTGGCTGCAGGATTCAACTGAGGGCAGAGCAGTCAGAATGAAATGGCCACTTTCTCCTCGTTGCATTTTGTCTTTAATCTTAAGCCCTGTCCTGTCTTTCTCTCATTTCCCTTTCATTTGCCTTCCACGTTTTTATCTTTTCTCTCTCTCTCTCCTCCTTCTGATTGTTTCTTCCTCTCTATGCCTTTCTTTCTTTTCCTTAGCCTTTCTTTATTCTGTTCTCCATTTCCTTTTATTCTTTCATTTTCCACTTCTCTTCCCTCAGATAGGCCTGTGGTTCCCTCATTATACTCTAATATGCATTATTCTCTGTCTCAGTGATGAAATCCACAAAATGCATGGAAGAATAAAATAAAGCTAAAGCCTTTACCTGCACAAAACCACAATCTAAGGAAAAGTTGGCACAGTGTGAACCTAATGCGTACTTAGGGAAGGAAGAGAGGTCAGCAACAGAGCGTGCCCAGTGTAAGTTCCAGGAGCTTTTCTGGAATGACTTCAGGTGCCGATAATTCCCTGTCTATACGTGCCAGTGCCTCCATGTGGTAGCATCATGTGCAGTGTTTTTGTTTTTTAAAGAGCTGTGAAGATCACCAGTTACAGGTGAGAAAGCTGCAATCCACGACACTGGTTTCCAGAGTCTGGTGGAGGTGGGTATGGAACTTGTGTATAAGTAGCTTCTGTTTTAAGACAAGAGGTATTGGTGAGGATACCCAGAGAGTGCAGAGGAATGAGGGAAAGCGAGGGGGCAGTCCCCACCAGGGGCTCGACATCTACATTTTCAGTGATTCCTCATTCCTTACTTTACAACTATTGTAAAGTAAATGTTGTGTTCTGACTATCTACTACCGTATAGCAAACCACCCCAACAGTAGCTTAAAGATAGAACCATCTTTTATTTTGCCCTGAAATCTTGGAGCTGCCTGAGCTTGGCTAGGCAGTTCTTACTTGGGAGGGTCTGTCTTACAGTTGTAGCCAGGGAGTAGCTGGGACTGAATTCATCCTTAAAGCTTCTTCAGTACATGTCCGGAGCTTGGGCTGCAAAGACACAGACAGCCAGGGCTCTCGGGCGTCTCACCTGTTGTCTGACGTCTCTCCAGGGTAGCCAGGGATCTCACGCAGCAGCAGAAGGCTCCCAAAGCAGGTATCCTGAGAGAGACCAGCAGAAGCCAAAGGTCTTTCCTAAGCCACCCTTGGAAGTTTCATAGCATCCCGTTCACTGCATCCTAATTCTTGAAGTCTGTCTCACAGTTTATCTCGGACTTTCAAGGGGAGGAGATCTAGATTTTGCCTTTTGATGGAGGCGTATCAAAGAGTTTGCAGACAGGTTTTAAAACCACCACATGTTGTTAAGCTGTTTTTTTACCACCCAAGGTTCAGGTAGTTATCCAGTCCTGCTGTGAAGTATTGCAGTGGTTAAACACAGATGTTGCAGCCAGACTGCTGGGCTCAAGTCCCATATTCGTTGTGTACGAACACTGTGATGTTGCACAAATCACTTAATATTTTAAGAATCAGTTTTCTCATCTGTTCAATGGCAATAATATTCCTGACTCACAATATTGTTGTAAAGATTAAATTAATATATATTAAATACTTAAAATAGAGTCTTACATCTTGTTGGCATTCTACAAGTATTTGTTATTTTTATTTTTATTAGATTCCCATTTTATAGATGAGAAAGCTGAGACGCAGAGAGAGAGAGAACTGATTGGCCTCTGTCACATAACTGGAATTCGAACACAGTCCCAACAGATTCCAAAAATCCTCTCTGAGTTCCTGATAGCAGCACCTCTTCCCTCCTATACAGAGCTGCTCCCAACTTTAAAATCCCTGTAAGTCTAGAATTTGGAATTTGTAGGCCCCCAGGCCTTGGAGGAAGGTCTCCCAGGAGCTAAACTCTGGACTTGTGACCCACCTTCACCCTCACCATTTAAGTCCAGTCACAAAGAACATGGATGTGTAAAGCAAGGTCCCTACTCTGGCCTTCTATGCACATTTCTGACCCTTAGGGGTTAAAAGGGTAGAGATGTAAGAGGAGATGGCCCCAAAATACAGAAACAGTACCTAATAACATTTGCAGGCAAAGGAAACAATACTGGATCTGACTTCCAAAGGCAGTTTTCTGAGACTCTCAGTTTTGGTTCCTGTCTCTGTAAAGAGAACTGTACTGTGCACCACACGGTTTTTACCAGGATCATGTGAGAGCCTAAGGGAGAAAGTCCCTGGTAAACCACTGGGTCCTGGCCACCTGTCAGTCATGAATTGAGCCCAGCAGAGAGCAAGGTGATAGCCTTGGACAACTGCCCTGCTTAAGCTGGGACATGGTCAGAGCAGCCCTGATGTGGGGAGAGGGCTGTCCTTTGGGCTGTCGCAGCCTGGGCTGGTGTCCAGTCATGGTTTCAGATTGCCCATGGGCCTCTTTGACAGGCATGCACTGTCTGGAGCTTGGCCTGCACATTCGAAAACACACAGATATGAATGCACGCAGTCTGCACACTGAAACGTGTCTCCCACATGCATCTACACACACATAAACACACACACTGTCTTTGTCTGATGTCCACCCCATGCAGAGGTGCTTCAGATAAACACCTTTTGCCTCCTAGGCCAAGATGAGGGCATGGATGCCCCCACCCTACCCTCTGAGAGCCCAGCATTGCCTGAGGTCCCTGAGGCCCCTGCGGGAGGACAGACCATCTTCTTTCGGCTTCTCGAATGCACAGCTTCTTCTCAGCGTCCACTGCCATGCAGCCTCCAGCCCCCATAGCCACAAGAGCCCAGCTCCTGGGTATGCTGCCATGTACTTAAACAGCCTCTCCTTGATCCCTTGTAATCTCCTGGCTTTTCCTCCTCTTTTCCTTTTTCTGCTTCTTTAGCTCCTCCTTTTCATCCTCTGCCACTGTCTCTCCATGGAAGTCTCCAAAGGGCATGTGAGCCCCTCCCCAAGGCCTGAGGCAGGAGCCCCTCTCGGTCCCCATGGAAGGGGGCAAGGGAGGAAAGGAGGTGGGGAGAGGGTCTCTGGAGTCTGGGGCACAAGCAAATATCTGAGCTGAAGGAGTGTCCTGCTTCCCAATTCCAAATCCTGAGAAGATAAACTGAAACACCAGAAAGCACAAAGCACAGTAGCTTGAAGGGAGCAACTTGGAGGGGGTGGCCTCACCTGGCTCCCTATCCTCACACAGGAGGATGGCCAGAGTGGGTGGGGGTCCCAGACATACACCCAGAGTGCTGCCTGTTCTCTGCCAGGAGGAAGATTCTCCCTGAGTGAGACTCTTCTCACTCTAGCAGGCACAAAGCTCAGGCTTTGCCATGGGGTGAGAGTGTGGGGAGCGGGCTGGATAGAGAGTTGATGATGTCCCTGTCCACAGAGGCATATGCATGGCCCAGAGCTGCAGGATCCTGCCTGGGGGAGTCTGAAGCCCACCACCGAGTAACATTTCAGGGTTTTCAAGTCAAGTCAATCCTATGGGTTAGCTAGGGCAAGGACCACCATGTCATTTGTTCGATAAGGAAATTGAGACACAGGACTCAGAAGATTCACTACAAAGTCTTGCACCATGAGGTGGGGGATGAATGACCATTGACTCATCACCAAACTACTCTCTACACTAACTCTTCATGGCAATTCCTTGAGCTCTTCTCCTTTACATCCTGGGAAGTCTGCTGGTCAAGGGGCTCCTAGGGGTAGAAGAGGGGATCACATTTGGTGGCTCTTGGCTCTTCCTGAGGCCATGCCTGTAAGCCGCTTTCAAGGCTCTGTTGACTTTAGCATTAATGAAATGAGCTCTCCCATGCAGGGCATATGTGTTAGTCTGTTCTCACACTGCTATAAAGACATACCAAGACTGGGTAATTTATAAAGGAAAGAGGTTTAATTGACTCACAGTTCGGTATGACTGAGGCCTCAGGAAACTTACAATCATGGCAGAAGGGGAAGGGGAAGGGGAAATAAGCACTTTCTTCACCAGGTGACAGGACAGAGAAGAGAAAAGGAGGAACTTCTAAACACTTATAAAACCATCAGATCTCGTGAGAACTCACTGACTCTCATGAGAACAGCATGGGGGAAAACTGTCCCCATGATCCAATCACCTCCCTCCCTCGACAATTCGGGATGAGATTTGGGTGGGGACACAGAGCCAACCCGTATCAGCATGTGTTTTCTTTCCACAAAGTGCTTTTGCATTCATTATCCACTTGGTCCTACCACATTTTTGTGGAATTGGTTCTATTATTATTGCTTTACTTACTACTACTATTATTTCTACAGTGCTTCAATAAAAGAAGGCTCATTGAGTTTTGGGAAACTTCTCAGAGCCCTAAGAGAAGCATGTGACTGAGTTGGGCATTGAATGATGGCCCAAAGAGGAGGAACCCCTGCACGTCCAACACACACACACACACACACACACGTGATGTACTTTGGTCACTCCTTGGCTTACAAGCCAATAGATCTCTCTTTAGATTTCCAGAATTTTAGAAGCTGAATTTTGTCCACAGTTGAGTCATGGCCAGCTCCCATGAAGCCACATCATTCAGGTCATGGGGCTTGAAAGGCCAGGAAAAGCCACCAGTAGCCACCATCCTGCCCCGACAGCACACTTCTGCACATGCACACACAGACACAACCACACACACACACACACACACACACATCCAACACATACTTGCTCTGGACAGGTAGAAAGGCTCTTAGCTCTCTGCTGTCTTTTTCTGTTCTTGGGAATTTGGGCCTAATGAAATGGATGCATGCATGAGGAGGGCCAGAGTGTGGGGTAAGAGTAGAAACCTCTGGGAAAAGGATAATACCATTTCAGCTTGGGCTTTCCTAGGAATAGCTGGTAGGGGCTTTGGATGTGAACGTGAATCATGTTTCTACTGCTCAGAACCCACTGTGGTCCCTGCAGGAGTCTCCAGAAGTTGCCTTTAAGTTCCCTGAGCTCCCCTCTCATGTGCTTAAACTGTAGAAACTCTTTTAACCTCAGACAATAGAGGGAATTCTCCTTATAAGGTCCCTGGTCAATCATTATCCAGTCCCTGTTTAAACGCTTCTAGTAACGGGGCTTTCCCTGCCTCATCTCTGACCTATGTATGAGTAGGCATGCATGATGAATGACTACCAGCTGTTTCTCTGAACTTCTCATCCTGAGACACAAGGGGAATCCCCTCCAAAGTTCCCTCTGTCCAAAATTCTCTCCCAGGAGCCTCCTTCAGTTATGAGACATCCCACCAAGACACAGTTATAGCTCCACAGGGCTACCTCAATGTGCAAGGGAAGGACTGCAGAGTAAGGAGAAAGAAGAGAGGGGAGGGGAAGGAAGAGGAAGCAGACCTGCCTCCCTGTCCCTCGATGTCTTTTGCAGCTGGAACTTGTTGGGGGTGTGGAGGGTGGGAGGTTCTGCCACAGAAGGAGATTTTGCAGCCTCACATGATAATGAGCGAAGATGGATCATCTCCAAGTAGATCACCCCTGCCCACAGGTTCTTCTGGGAAGTGGTACAGTGCAGTGGCTGAGGGTGGGCTTGGGAATCACATGACCCTGGCTTGGAAATCCAGCCTTGCTGCTTACTTAGTTCTACAAATTCTCTGAACCTCAGTTGACTTCTTTGAAACATAGAAATAATAATACTACATTATGCAGTCGTTGAGGATTAAATAAGATAATTAATGTAAAGTGCCAGGCACATGTTTTGAATGTAGAAGGTGCTCTATACATAGTAATTATTATTATTAAGCCCAGAAAGCTCTGTCATTCAGGAATAAAAGACTAATAATAATGATAATAGCTACGTGCACTGGCTCACACCTGTAATCCCAGCACTTTGGGAGGCTGAGGCAGGAGGATCACTTGAGGCTAGGAGGTCAGGATCAGCTTGGGAAACATGGTGAGAGCCTGTCTCTATAAAAAATAAAAAAATTAGCTGGGGGTGGTGGTATATGCCTGTGGTCCCAGCTATTCGGGAGGTTGGTGTGGGAAGATCACTTGAGCGGGGGAGGTCAAGGCTGCAGTTAGGTATGATTGTGCCACTGCACTCCAGCTTTGGCAACAGAGAAAGGCTGTGTCTCAAGTAATAATAATTAATACTACTAATAATAGCAGCGAACAATTACAAGATGTTTATGATGTACCAGGTCTTCTTCTAAGAATTATATCTATTAACTACTTCTAATAACAACAACCTTGTGAGGCCACTACTATTATTTCTCTCATTTTACAGATGGAAAAGCTAAGGTGTAGAGAGCTTTTAAAAACCTGCCCAACTCTATACAATGGGTGGAAGGGTATGGTGGACCCTATGTACAGCTGGGCAATGTTGGAAAATCCCTTCCTCTCTCTGGGTCTTAGTGACTACTTCTGTAAAGTGGGGGAATTGATCTATTAATACTTCCTGGGTTATCATAAGTATTAACTAAAATGGTGGGTAAAAATGGTCAGGCATAATGTCTGGTACCTAGTACCATTCAGTCTTAAAGAGGAAGACCATTCCAACACATGCTACCGCATGGATAACACCTAAGGACATTATGCTCAGCAAAATGGGCCAGTCGCAAATGAACAAATCCTGTGTGACTCCACTTGCATGAGGCAGCTACAGCAGTCAAATCTGTAGAGACAGAAAGCAGAATGGTGGGTGCCAGGGGCAAAACCGGGAGTCATTTGACAGTCACAGGATTTCAGTTTTGCAAGATGAAAGAGTTCTGAACACCTGTTTCACAACAAGATGGATATACTTAACACTACTGAACTGCACACTTAAAAAGGGTTAAATGGTACATTTTACGTTATGTGTATTTTACCATAATTAAAAAAATATATATGTATCATCTCACTTTTAAAAAATGTGATTGTATTTAGATATATGGCTACAGACATTTATACACGCATGAAAAGAACCCAAATGTAAAGTATTTACTCCGAAGTGTAGACAGAGCTTTTTGTGTGAATGGGAATACAGGTGATTTTCATGTTACATTTTTCATATTTCAGTTTTCTATGTTTTTGTTAATAAGCATGTTATTTTGTCATAAAAGTAAAGTCATAGAGAATAAGATATTTTAAAAAATAAATTAAAAAATATATATATTTTCCCACAAAAAGTAGTGTTAGGAGTTTGTTACAGTCTGAACACCTGTGTACCCCCAAATTCCCAAATACATGTGTTGAAATCCCAACCTCTAAACTGATGATACTGGGGCAGAGCCTTGGGAGGTGATCGTGAGCCTCAGATCATGCAGGCAGAGCCTTCCTGAATGGGATAAGGGCCCTTATGAAAGGGATTCCGGGGAACTTGCTCTCCCTCCACTGTTGTGAGACTGCAATGAGAACGTGGCCATCCATCCGCCAGGAAGCAGGCCCTCACGACACTGGATCTGCTGGTGCCTTGATCTTGGATTCCCCATCTCCAGAACTGTGAGGAATACAGTTCCTGGGAGCAGGGGAAGGTGATTCTAGAATACAGGATAATTTACAAAAAGAAGAAGTCAGGACTTAGGGCAGCGAACAATCAGAAACCAGATCTGGTCAGGAGGAAGACAGGAGCAGCCCTCTTTCAGGCCTCTGGCGCTGCCAGGTTGGTTTAAAACTGGGGGCTGGGCCGGGCACGGTGGACCACGCCTGTGATCCCAGCACTTTGGGAGGCCGAGGTGGGTGGATCACGAGGTCAGGAGTTCAAGACTAGCCTCGCCAAGATGGTGAAACCCCGTCTCTACTAAAAAAAAAAAAAAAAAAAAATTAGCCGGGCGTGGTGGCACGCACCTGTAATCCCAGCTACCCCAGAGTCTGAGGCAGAGAATTTCTTAAAACCTGGAGGGGCGGAGGTTGCAGTGAGCTGGGATCGCACCACTGCATTCCATTCTGGGTGACAGAGCAAGATTCCATCTCAAACAACAACAACAACAACAACAACAAAAAACCAAAAAAAAAAAAAAAAAAACCCGGGGCTGCGGCATGGCAGCGTGCCTCCTCCAAGGGAAACTGGAGCTGCAGGAGGAGCTGGTGAGCCAGAATGAGGTTTTCTTTCTGGGCAAGGAAAATAGGACAGCCTTGGGGTTTTGAGGAGAAGGGTTCAAGTGAGGAAGGGACATCTTTAGTCTGCATCACAGAAGCACCAAGCACTTCTGTCCTTGAATCTAGACAATCCAGAAGGTGGCTTCTGAACCTCCTCAGTACAGTGGGGAGAAAGGTTGTAGGTTAACTGGCATTATAGGAGAGGGGCTGGTGCTCTTTGGGGCAACCAGGCACTTACTAGGAGCTGCTGGCATGGAGCCTCACCAGGGCCTTGGTCAGACAGACACAGGCTCCAACTCACGCCCTTCCTCTCTGAGAGGTCAGGCTGTAGTGGGAATCAGGAAAAGAGAAGGGCCTTCTATCTGGGAACTGGCTAGGTCAGGATGCCTGGAGCACAGGAGGCTGTAGGGGAGCCCAGGCACCAAGCGGAGGAAGGGGCCAGACAGAGGCTAAGGTCTGAGGAGGGCCTGTGCTTGGCTCCCGAACCTGGTTCCCCCAGTAGCTTGGGGTGTCCCTGGAACGAATATGGACCGTGAATGAGATGGTGGTGGAAGGGCACGGTGGGTACTACATACAGCTGGGCAAGGTTGGAAAATCCCTTCCTCTCTCTGGGTCTTAGTGTATTAACTGAAATTGTGGGCAAAAATGGTCAGGTATAATGTCTGGTACCTGGTAGGTGCTCAAATAAATGTGGATGTCCCCCTCAAGGGGTCTTCTCTTCTTTTTCACCTTCTGGGCACTCTTTCTCCATTTCCTGCTGGAACAGAATGCTGTAAGCAGAGAGACACTGCCTTGCAAGGACTTGGAGAGCCATTGGGAG